TGAGTACTGTTTGGATATATTGAACGCTCAGATTAAAGCTATCTGGGGATAGGTTGAATGTGGGGGTTCTGTTCAGTATAATAGGAATGATGTATTTTTATGTATTTTTTTTTTTCTGTTGTAAATGGAGATATTCCCTGTACCTGGAGATAATTAAGTTACTACTTAAGCCAATTATCTCCAGGATAGAGAAGATGGACCGGCTGCACAGCCTAAATCTGTGGAACTGTTTTGGGCAGGAAAGCAATGCTTGCTGTTGGTCAAATGGGACTTCCACCTAATTTTTGAACCACTGGACCGATTTGTCTGATTTTTGACATGTTTGTGTACTGCTTATGCTGGTTCAGAAAATGTTACTTTTATTAATTTTGGATGGTTTGGAAGTTATAAATAGTGTAAAACTGTATATTTTCCTGTCTGTGATAATTTAAGTTAGCCCATGGTGTTGAGCTAATTGGACCACAGGCAGAGGGGAGGGTTTGTGTGTATTAGCTGGGAGTGTCTGACTGTATTGTAATGTGTTTGGCTGTTCCAGAAGACCATGTAGGTGGTAACCTTGTGAAAAAACCTGCATAAAAGCAAGTCCTTTGGTGCTTATTAAACAGATCTTCTTGACCCTCAACACATAGTCTTGTCTCATGATTGGAGGGGACAGCCTATATTCAGGGGCGGACCGAGGGCCCGAGACAGACAGGGGCCTGGCCGCACAGCCATGCTCCCTCTGGAGAGATCAGAGATCTCTCCAACTAGAACGGCAAATTTAAAAAAAAAAAAAAAATTACTTTAATAGGTTGCTGGGGCCCCTGATGCAGGGCAGGGCCCCAGCAACCTACCGCTCTGTAAATCACCCCCTCACATGAGACCTGGCAGCTTCACCTCCTCTCTGCAAGGTCTCCTCCTCCTGTCCCGTGGTGCTCTGTGTAATGGGGAGGGCCAGGAAATGACCTCACTTCCTGTTTACTCCTCTCACACAGAGCCCGATGAGGGGAAGGAGCAGCAGCCTGGGAGACCAGAAGGAGCAGAGAGAGAGGAAGGATATAGTCACTCTGTCACCAGTCACCCCCTCCCTCCCTCACTGGGATTTGGTAGGGAGCTTGGCATAATGGGAGTTGACCTGGTGTCTCTACCTGGTGAGTAGCCAAAGGAGTGTAACCAGGTATGTTGGAGAAGGTAGACTTCTCCTCTAATAGTTGTCTTACCTTGATCCGCAACTGTGGGCTCAGCCGTTCTCCCAATTTGACCTCCTCTCTCACCTGACTAACTGCCGTCCACTAGGAGGCCGGACAGGGGAAGGTTGTCGAAGTCCTCAGAGGCAGGGGCACAGATCACTGCCCCCTCCTCTGCTCGCTCATGGTAGGGTTTCAGCATGTTCACGTGGAGCATGCGTCGCACGCCACTTCCTGAGAAAAGGCAGATCACGTAAGTGGTGTCACATTTTTGTTCCGCCACTTGGTATGGGCCCTGCCAGGCGGCCTGTAGCTTGTTATTCCGGACAGGTTTTAAAATCAAGACTTTCTGTCCTACCGGAAAACTACGGTCCCTGGGACCTCGATGGTACCACATGCACTGGCGGTCCCGGAACTCCAGCACATATGGGACGATGGGGTTAATATCCTCCTCCCAGTGTTCTCTGATAAGGTCCAGGGGCCCCCTCACCCGCCTCCCATAGAGTAGCTCGAATGGGGAGAAACCTGTGGATTCCTGCGGCACTTCCCAATATGCAAACAGGAGGTGTGGAATTAATCTCTCCCAATCTCGACGAGTCTCTGCAAACTTTCGGAACATTTGTTTTAATGTTCTATTGAATCGTTTGCAGTGATTGTTAGTTTGGGGGTGATAGGGAGCGCTTACAATCGGCTTAATGCCGCAGAGCCTCCAGACGTGTTGGGGGATCTCTGCGGTAAACTGAGTACCGCAATTTGACACTATCTCCTGGGGAAATCCCATGCGGGAGAAGATTTACATTAGGGCCTCTGCTACTGTTTCCGCATTGATGTTTGTCAGCGCCACCGCCTCTGGGTATCTGGTAACTTAGTCCACCACCGTCAATAAATATTTCTTGCTGGAGGGGCTAGGCTTGGCTAAGGGTCCTACCATGTCTACCACTATCCTGCCAAACGGTTCCTCAATTATGGGGAGAGGGTGAAGTTTAGCCTTGCGGCAGTCTCATCTCTTACCTACCCTCTGGCAGGTATTGCAGGTCTGGCAATACCGCCAAATATCTTGGGAAATCCTGGGCCAGAAGAAGTTTTGGGTGAGCGGTATCTAGTTCGGAGCAACTCCTGTCGGTACCTCTGAGGTCGGTTCGGACCCAGCCACTATCTTCTAAGACTCTCTGTACAGTAGCTCCGTATCCCACACATCTTTCCCCCCTCTAACCCTGCCTAACCAGAGGTAACTATCTCTGTATACCTGCAATGTGGGGTCTGTGGTCACCTCTTTCTCAAATTCAGAGGTCGCAGCCCAGGGCACACATTCTAGTGACGGGGAACAATATCTTACTTGAGCCTCCAGGTGTGAGCTGTGGTCTCTGGTGAGGGCCTGGTGACTACCAGGTAAAATTCCTCCAGTGTGGCCTGGGTCTCAAACGCAGACATGAGCCTCCCCAGGTCATTCCACAACAGAAGTTCCACCGGTAACTCCGGTATCAACCCCACCTTCACCATTCTAGCACCCACTCCCCAATTTGGGTGTACCCGGGCAGTAGTAAGTCGGTACACTTTTCCCCCAGCTACCCTTACGGCCACAGTGTTCTGGGTCTTGGCAGTGCTTGGCACCAAATGGCTCTTTACTAATGTCAGAGTGGCCCCGGTATCCCAAAGCCCTGGACCTCCCTCCCTGCCAAGATAACTGTCTGTCTGCCTGTGATGTTGGCGGTTATCGATGTCTGCTTCATGCAGCACTTCCCATTGCTCTAGGAATGGAGTCGGAGCGGCATACTGGACTGGAGATTCCGCCTGGTAGTAGTGAGCTGCTACTCGGGTGGATGGTGGTGGTCCCGGGCAGATGCATTTGGCCCGTTCTCGATTCTGGGGACAATCCAGTTTCATGTGCCTCATCTGTTTGCAGTGGTGGCACTGGACGGGGTTTTGGTGGTGAAAGACAGGCTGTGGGACAGCAGGATTATTAAATTTAAAGGATTAGATTAATTCTAATTATTTTCCAGGAGTAATATAGGAAATATATCTAGTAAAATGGTATTGATAGTATTGCTTATAAGTCAATATTGATAAAACACAGACATATGCATTAAATCTGCAAATATTACACCATACAATAGCCTTATTCTATGCAAAATGTAAAAGTACTGGTTGATAAAGGGATTTTGAGTGTTAAAACTTCAGTGTTTAAAAAGAGCTGTTTAAAATCCACAAAAGGGGGGGTGGGGGGAGCGTGCCTAGCTGCCAAAGAAGATGGCTGCTTAATCTAACAGCTCCTCGTGGTCACAGCGAAAAATTGCACTACTAGGCGCACCACACGCATACAGCACCGATAATGGGGCGCAATAAGAAGCAGGCGGATCCCCCCGGCTCCCCCAGACCATCGGGGTCCGGAACGGAACACTCCATCCGCTCATACCTCACCACACCACGGGATCTCGGGTCACAGCCAGACATGGAGGCCCCAGACCCAACCGCGGACTCGCCCTCGGCAACTCCCGTGCAATTCTCCCCGACACCATCAGACCCACCCTAAACCCAGGGGACACTGGAGAGAGACCTCAGGGCCATACAACCCACCCTTCTGACGAAGGCAGACCTTGAGGCGCTGTCGGACCGCCTCAGCCAGGTGATCCTCAACGAGCTGACCGAAGTGAAGGCGGATATCCCCAACATGGACGCCAGGCTGACCGCAACAGAAGCGGACACACGGGCCCTCCGCACGGAAACTGACGCTGCGGTCGACGACGATCGCAGAATGAACAGGGGCAACAGAATGAACCTCCGGGTGCGGGGGGTGAGAGAGATGGGCCCCAATGAGAACATCCCAGAGATCCTCCGCACAGTTTTCAGTCTCGCCCTGGGGGGACAACAACCCAGAATAGGCCTCGTACGAGCCCACCGCGCACTCCGTGCACCTCCAGCGCCGGGGGATCAGCCGTGTGACATCATCTGCTGCCTGGATAACTTTACCCTCAAGGAAGACATTCTCCGCAACGCCCGCCGAATGGGCCACATCAGCCTGGAAGATCAAGTAGTGACTGTCTACCAAGACCTCTCCCGCTATACACTGCAAGCCAGGAAGACCCTCCGTCCAGTAACAGCAGCACTCCAGGCAGCGGGTATCCCGAACCGCTGGGGGTACCCCTTCGCCCTCTCCGCACGCAGGGGACAAGAGCTACACACTAAGACACCGGTGGATGTCCAGGGATTTCAACGTGCTCTGGGACTCCCCCCTGCCAGAGTGCAGAATTGGCTGACCTACCACTTCATACAGCAAGCGGCAGGCCCTCCACCACCACCGCCTGACAGATCCGCAAGCAGAGATCAGCGCAGACACTCGGGACGCCCTGGCCCGGCCAGACCCAAAGAATAACAGCCGCAATGAGAGCCCAGCCAGAAAGGAGGAACGGTGCAAGCAGCAATCCGCGCCACACACTGCGCAACAGTGAGTAATGACACTATATCCGATTGGGGGACATTGGCTACCTGTCCACAGGGTTACGAAGAGGGGAAGGGGGGGCTACTCACAATGCAGGAGGGGGACGGGCACAAAAATCGCCATTAGGAGCGCAGACACCAGTCCAACATCCCCATACCCAGAAGCGGGACCCTACACCTGGGGGTCAATGGCCCCACGAACACCCACCGGCCCGGTGGGGGTGGGGGGAGACAGCACCATTTGGGTGGGGGATAGGGAACCGGGACTACACCTTGACACTCGCAAGCCGCACAACGAACTACGCCATTGGAACCGGGCCCCTCAATGACTAAGACCAGGGATGCGTAATACACTCCCGCACGGGAGCGCCATACCCCACAGCAGTAACGGGGAAAGGGATCAGGCTAGGGAGATGCTAGGGAAAAACAGACAGGCATAACCAAAGGGACGAGGGGAGAAGGTTGAGCCATACACACGAAGATATACA